GGGAGCCCGGGGCCCTGCTGCTCCTGTTTGTGCCCTCTCAGGATCGTGCTTTTAATAATCGGTTCCGTGTTTGTTTCTGGCGCGGAGGGGATGCGATTACTTTGGACCGCAGCGTCCTAGTCGTTTCCTTAGCCAGGAGTCCAAGTTAGGGCTCCCGGAGACGGTGTGAGGGTCGGCTCTTAGCCGAAACGCCGTTGTTGGTTGGCTCATGGGTGATGGGGATGATAAAATTGTCATCTTTAACCGCTAGTCTGCGGTCAAAGGGCAAGGGGAAGAAATGAATTCGTAATTCACGTTTTACGTATTATCCTAATTCTTGTTTTTATTTGGGTTTGTTTGCCGAGAGAAGGATAGGCTCGGGGGGGGGGGGGGTGCTCAAATTCCAGTCTTCTAGACCTGAAGGATTGTTGTAGAAAAGAGGGAGGTACTTCACAGGGACGCACAATGACAGGACAAGAGGCAACAGGCACGAGTTAAAAAAAAAAAAACCCACCAACAACTATTCACTGTGAGAACAATCAAACATTGGAATCAGTTGACTGGGGAAATGGTGGGATCTCCATCAGTGGAAATACTCAAGACTTGGCTTGACAGGGCCCTGGCTAATGTAGTCTAAGGCCCTGCTTTCAACAGAAGGTTGGGCCAGATGATTCCAGAGGTCCCATCCAGTGAGGAATTTCCTATGAGCCGCTGAAAAAACAGTTCTCAGTGAGAGCAGCTAAGTGCTGGGACAGGATGCAGAGGGGCTGTGAGATCTCCATCCTTAGAGACACTCAAGAGTTGGGCTGAACAAGGCCCTGAGTGAGGTGACCTACCTCGTGGGTCCTGCTCGGAGCAGAATGCTGGACCAGGTGACCGCAGAAATTCCTTCTAACCTGACTCTTTCTACCTCATCTGTGAAGATGAGGTTCTCTCTGCCTGCATCTTGAACGCTGTGTTTTCTATTCCTGATGAATTTTTGTTTTCATTTGAACTTAAACCAGTGCAGTATTATGCAGTGTTAATTGTTTCTCCTTCTTTAATCACGAGGCATTTAGTGATGATGTGCACATCTGCCAAGATTAGCATAGTTTGTATAAACTTTAGTGAGTTTTAATTGCTTTTTGAGCTAACTTCCTTCATTCAAATTAGGGATGCTGTTAACTATCTTACTGAAGCTCTTCAGTCCGTCAATGAAGTAGAGCTTGAAGATGTAATTGAAAACATCATTGATGCTGTTGAAAAACAGCCTCGTAAGTAGACAATTTTTTTTCTAAGCTTGCTAATTTTCTCTTGGCCTTACAATGTTATTTAGACAAAGACAGAGTTGCTGGCAGCTTATGCACTGAGGTGTCGTTCTAATCTACGAGGCTGATCATGATAAATGCATTTGTGGACTTTTTGTTTTGCTAAATACTGAAGTTTGTCGTGTTAGCAAAAGGTAGTGTAATTTTGCCATTTAAAAAGTTGGCAGCTTCGTGCCTCCTGACTTCTCCGTGAGCAGCGAAATTCTTAAATACCAGCTCAGAACAGCACCTAGCTGAGTTTGTATGGATATCTTTGCATCTGAAACGATCATTTTAAGTATGAAAATAAACCAAAGAGATCATGAGAAATTAATTTATGTGATATTCAGTAGTCCAGGTCCAGAGAGGGATAAGGTTGTTGACAGCTATAATCTTGGGAGTTTAGCTGTGACTGTAAGAAGGAAACTTGAATAGTTTACCTATCTCGGTTCAGAGATCAGTGCACTTGTAGCCAAGTGGAGTGGCAGATGCCAGTGCACCAGTGTAATAGTCTGGTATATTAACTTAAACCAGCTATGGGTGGAATTTAACCAGCGCTTGGATTGTCTCTGAAGCAGCAAGGCAGATGTCGGTGCTCTGTTTTACCTACCTGATCTTATGCTGATAACAGTTGGGGCGCTGTAGCACGGGAGAAGCTGTACCTGCTTGGTGTGTGAAACAAGGTCAGAGTCCATAGATGAGTAAGTTCAGAAGTCCAGCCCAGAAAACTCCTGGAAAATCCATAAGGACATGAGAAGCTCAAAGCGTTGAGCTTTTGCTGCTGAAGTTCCTATGGCCCCCACCAATTCTGAGCATGCCTGGAACTTCATCATCTCGGCAGGAATATTGTCTTTGGGGACTGCCTCCTGCTAAGCTGGGGCACTATGCCCTGCTTAACTGAGGCACACAGATAAAGTGTCCCTGCTACTGAGTGCCTTGCAGGGCATGGCGTGATAGAGGTGTTCAGAACATGCCTGACAGCACAAAGCAGGAGTTGTAGCGCTTTTAGTTAGAGCGCTTGACCGAAGGAGGTGGTGCTGATACCTGCCATAGATGTGTGTTTACAGATCAGAGCTCAAGAGAACTAGGAAACCTGGGCTCAATGTGATTTTCCGGCTGAGGAGATTCAAATCCGTAAAAATGTGATCTAAATACTAGGCCTCAGATGAGTTGGGGAAAATTATCTAAACCGAATCAGATCAAGGGTGGACACGTGTGTGCCATGTATGTAGTTTGTAGTATGTACTAGAGCACGCAGTACAGAGGTTAGGATGGCTTTATGTTCTTACGCTAGCCTTGGGAAAACAGCTGATTGCTGATCGAACAGAGAGTAAAAGCAGCGAGGAGAGCTGGTCCTGATCCAGCATAAAGCCTGGCGGTACAAATTAACTCCTCAACATTTTTGAACAAATTTGAACAAGTACAAGAAGTTCTAGGACCAACGTAGTACCCGCAGTTATTGTATTCTCTAACAGTAGCCTTTGTCCAGGGTGAGATTTTGTGCTATACATTCCAACCTTGTACAGCTAACTGCAGGGAGTTCTTTGAGAAGAGGGTGGACGTACAGTTCAGACATGTTGGTCCCTGCTGTGATTCCTTCTAGCTCACTTAGTGCCCCTTTTGTTCTGCTATTCAGCACTCTCCTAAATTCTTGTTTTAAGTCCCATGCCCTGGATAGGGAACTCTGGGGCTGATTTCTGCATACTGATGTCTGCTCCAGGAGCCCAGCAGTCAGGCTTGGCAATAGTGACTGTCACTAAGCCCAAGTCCTTTTGTGAATCTGTGCATTGGTCTTCCCTTCAAGTTCAGCAGACCATTAGTATTTAGAAAATGTTTTTGAATTTCGATGATCAGTTTAACATCCATGAAGACAGCAATGTACCTATCTCCAAGATTGTGTTAAACTGTTTGAATACTTATTTGTGACAGCAATCTGTGCAATAATGTTCTGGAACAAAATTAACCTCCAGCATGTGAAAGCTCACATCTAACACTTTTGTAGTATATTTGGCAGCTTTACCTAAACTATAATTATCTCACTCTCCATGTTTAGTGAATTGCTGGTGGGCACAATATGTGTGTGGGTTATTTTTTTGAGAGATATATTCTTCTGGTAAGGAGATTAAGTAATCTATTTGTAAAAAATTGATAGAGAAAACAGTACGTGTCATTAGCTTATAGAAAATATGCTTATTTGTGTAATATATTCCTCTTAGGTGACTGAACCATTTTTGTAAAATACTTGCGACCTACATACTTCCTTACTTACCACTTTCCGTAGGCTCCACTTTTAATCCTTTGCGATGTTCTTTTCAGTGTCATCTAATATGATTGAACAGGCCGCAGTGGAAGCAGCCGTCCAAGAATGTAGCCAAGCATCAGATGAAACTGTGTACGGTGACATTATTTTTTTGTATGATGTTTATGGGAGTTGGTATGCATTCCCTTATTTCTTCTTGGGAAATAAATGTCAGGCATTTTCTGCAGTGCTACACATGCAGTAATTGCTTTGTGCTTTGTCTTCTTGATTCTGCCTTTTGAAGGTTAGTAATGTTCCTTTATAGAAAATTTGTTCTCATGGATAGGCCTGTAGGGGATTCTAAATATAATGCTGACATTCTGGAATTAAAATGGTATGGTTATGTGTTGCATATGATACAAGTTGAATATTAACCAGTAAAATGAACCAATAGCCACGTTTTAGAGAGAACTTGTGACTTCTGCGCCTTCTCTATTTCCTTTCCTCCAGATGAAACTCTTATAACGTTATTCTTCTGTCTTTCGTAAGATACCTCTTTTCTGAAAGCACTTGGAAGACTTTTCCTCCAGGGTGCTTGTTTCTGCTTTTTGCATAGCAGGGCTGTTTTTTTGAAAACCATGCTTGATTTTCACTCTTTGATAACGAAGCAGAGAGCAATTATTTGAGCTTCTGAGAGCTTTTTTTGTGATTATGATGAATGTGTTTTTTAATGTTTACTTTGTGTATTGATATTGTAATGCAAATTGTGTAAATAAATGGTTTGTTAAGCCTTTCAATTAGATACTGTGATCCCACCGTTCCTCAGTGTGAAGCATATTTGTTTTTGACTTTTCTCGAAGTTGTTGGAATCTTTACAGTGCAGGCAGCTTGAGTGTAACTTTCCTTGTATCACTTCATATACATAATGTATTTTAAGCTTCAAAAGTGAAGAGAAAGCTGTGTGCACAGATTCTCAGTGCAGAGAAATAGGATAGGATCACAGGGCCAGCCTTAAAATTCTCTTGAACTTTTTTCCAGAAAGCTTAGACACAGAGTTTTCTGAGAAATGCACCCTGAAGCCTAAGACATCATTGTCTGTTAGGCAATGATGGATGTCCCGTGCTTGTAAGCCTTAGTGAAGGTTGATGTGATAATTTTTATCCACTCTGATGAATTTGATCCAATTAAGAGTAAGAGAGAAACAAATGGCATCAGAGGATAGAGCTGATCCAGTAAACAGAAGGGGATGTGACAGCTCCATGTATAGTCTGCGGAGTAGTGCACATCCATTGTTTAAATGTATTCGGATTAACCATGCCAAGACTGTTCTACTGTCAAAAAAGATATTGGAGGATGGTAATGGAAGAGGAGGTATCCCTCTCTCATTTTTAAATAAGTTTCTAAAGAGTTTAATTGAGTTAAAAGTTGCTACAATAGCCAGTAGGTGAAGTGAAGAGGGAGAAAGGGTGATAGCCCACAGTGGTAGTGAATAAAATCAGTACTGTTTGGTTCAGGTGTTTTGCTTTCTTAGTGTTTGTTTTTTCTATTTCAAATAATGCTGTAAACGTGTTCTGATTTCAGAGAAAATGTTTTCAACATTATTGGGGCCTTTGATATTCCACGTTATATTTATAACTCAGAAAGAAAGAAGTTTTTACCGTAAGTCTTGCGTATTTTTTCAGCTACTTCTTGTTTATTTTTTTAAGTCTCTATTTCTATAGGTTTAAAAGTCCGTTTTCTAATCTTTCTCTCTTGGGTCTCCTCTTTTGAGCCTTATGTGAGAAAATGAGATAATTTGTTTCATGTTCTCTGAAGTACCAGGCAGGCTCTGTGATAAACGATGGCTCACAAATAAATGCACTATTAAGTTTTCCCTAGTCCAATTAAGTTTTCCCTAGCATGCAGCCCAAACATGCCATCTGCATCTCTTGTGGTAGTGTATTCGGTGGTGCCTGTGATGTTACTGGCTCTGAAACTTAGGCGTTTATCAGATAAAAAATGTTCAGACCATTTTAATGTTATTTAATAAGTAAAAAAGACAGTATCACAGAATCACAGAATTGTCTAGGTTGGAAGGGACCTCTGGAGATCATCTAGTCCAACCTCCCTGCTCAAGCAGGGGCCTCGAGAGCATATTGCCCAGGATCACATCCAGACGGGTTTCGAATATCTCCAGGGAAGGAGGCTCCACTACCTCTCTGGGCAACCTGTTCCAATGCTCTGTCACCCTCACAGTGAAGAATTTTTTTCTCAGGTTTAGAGAGAAGGCTAAGTAAGAGAAGGCACAGTAAGGCTAAGGATGTACACCACTAAGTTTTGTGGGGGTTTTTTTCTATTTGACTGTTTAATTTTTTAAATAGATTTGGTCTGTCAGTTGCCTGCATTTATTTCTCAAACTGTAGCTTACAATTCTCAGAAGTCCTGGGGCTTTCTGAGGAGAGTTACAGAATGTTTAAAAGAGAAGAGTTAGCAGCTACAGACGATTCCACAGTTGGAGAAAGAGAGAAGTAGCTGACAGTATTGGCTGTAAATATTTTGCTAGCTAAAGAATTTACCTTTAACAGCAAGCAGCCCAGACAAAGATGCTGAACCCAAAAGAGGCTGTGCTTTCAAAGAGCTTAGCTGAGGAATGGATTGTGGTTCATTTTGAAGGGTTGCACCTACCTTCTTGTAATGTGCAACTTGTTTTCTAGCGTTGGTTCATGATTCTGCTGGCATAGCAAAAGCATTCTGTGTTTTTGCAGTAGAAATTTAATTACAATGTCACTCTCTAGCTTTCCAGGCTGTCAGAAGCAGGGAACTCCATGAAGGCAATGCGCTAACCAAGAGGAAGAAAATTTTTTTTGCCATAGCTACTTAAAAGACATAACCACTTAAGAAACTGATTTATGTTCAGTCCCATTCCTGTGGAAAGATAGGTTGTGAGGACTGTGAGTTAGAGAGAAATGAAATGGATGTCGCCTTCAGAACGCATAAACACAGCATTGCTAGCAGAAATCTTATTGAATAAATAAATTATGTAGTAGTACTGCAGCTTTTGGAACTTCCTACAACTTTTTGATTAACAAATCGTTATTGGGTATGTAGCATACCTTTTTTTAATCGTGTTTTTTTAAACTTCTTGCAGTCTGTCAATGACCAACGTTCCTGTACCAAATTTATTTGGAACTGCCAGAGATAAAGCAGAGTTATTTCGTGAACGCTACTCCATCTTACAACAGGTCAGAAAAAGTTTTGCTGTGTTTCCCAAAAGACGAGAAAAAAATGCTGTCCTTGTATGTTCTTAGACAGGTATACACCAGTGTTTTGTGCTGAGGTGCTTGAGTGAGCTACAGTTGAAATGAAATCTGAGTTAGAGCAAGCTCTGTACTAAGTTTTATCAGCCCTCTCTGTTGACACTACGCAACATTACGGATTCTTCTGTTTCTGAATTTTAGCATCATGTTATAAAAGGGGATTATGTATTTTTATGTGTGTCTTGCTTTTGTGTCTCCTGAAGGTTGTTTCTGTGCTACGTTAACCAGCATGTCATCGTGTGTAGCGCCTGTTGAGATGATATAAACCTGAAGGCCTGGGAAGCGCTCATTCAGGCTCTCCTTGAAGCATTCAAATTTGCTTCTAGTTTATTTAATTTATTCTTTTTCCAGTTTTCAAAACGCTCAGAAAGAGCCAGCCACCTGTTGTCATCTCTTGGTGCCGCATGTATATTGCTCTGTTGCGAGCAGCTTCAGAACGCAGTGCCCTGACATGCCTTGCTCTGCACCACCGTGACAGTAGCTGCAGGTGTTTACAGTACCTGCAGGTAGTGGCTCCGGACCGGTCTGTGCACACACACAGCCAGGACGAGTCGGTCCTTCAGCACTCCCTGTCTGATCATCCCTCACAACAGTACTTCAGCCCTCTTGTTTGCTTTTTTCCACTCACCACCCAAAATGGGATCCCACTGTTACCCACCTGCTTAATCCCTGCTGCACTCTGCCCTGCCTCTGTAGTATGGTGCAGCGTGAGCAGGGACGGGATGCGGAGCAGATGGCTGATCAGCCAACTTGTTAAATGTTTGTCAGGTGTCTGCGCTAGCTGCTAGTATCAGTGGGCTGATGCACAGCACAGGTCATGCTCCGTGCTGCAGGTGCTGTGCAGAGCTAACTGTGTGTGCACGGCCCCTGATCTGAGTTTTGGTGAAACACCTGCATGCAGGCAGGCAGTGACTGCAGCTTTCTTCCATGCCTGGGAGGCTGCCAGTTGCTTGCGTGAGCTGCTTGTCCTTAGGCCCACATGGAAGTTGCCTGCCCACAGTCAGATACTGGGGAGCAGCAGCAACTCCCTGTCTATCTGCAGTTGGGATTTAGTGCCACCAGTAGTATGTATAGGGCAATTTGGGAACGTCTGCCCTGGAAGACCAGCGAACCATTGACTAAAGAACCTTTAGTCAGTACAAACAGTGATCTGAATTAGTGAAACCTGCTGATTTTGGCATGCTCCCGTTGTTTTCTGGGAACAGCACGTGAGGGTGTCAATAGGGAATACCAGTATCCTGAGGCCTCCTCTTTTCCTAGACTATATTGTGCTATTGCACCTCATAATCTGACAGTTTTACAAAGGATCTTTGTTACAGAGGTTTTGTGTTTGGTTACCGTATTTTATTCTTTTCAGAAAAGTGGAGGTTCAGGTCACTCTGTGGCTGAGGGCTGCCAATGTCATTAATTACTGCTCGTGTTAGGTGGACCGAGAGCGATGTGTTCATTCCAAGAGGAGGCTTTCAAACTGCATAAAAAAACATTGAAAGAAGTGAAAACTTCTGTAACACGTTTTCTTCGTACTCTCTGTAGTTTATGTGTTAAAGTGTTGTCTACCCTTGTTATTTTCAAAAAGTGCTTATTTTGGTAGACTCTGCCCTGAAGAGATTACCAGCTCTTTTCCACATACCTAGCAGTTAACATAGTATACCTTCCCTTGCTCTCTTATTCCTTCCTTCCAAGTAGTCAGAAATAACTTTTGGAACAGTTACAGATGCACTGTTATCTTTTGGGCTTAGTTTGATCGTGCAGCATTATTGATAATCTATTTCTTAGAAACAAATCCTAATCAAAAGAAGTGATCATGCTCAACAAATCAGAAGTTGCTGGATAAAATAGAGCAAGAGAACTTGAAAAAGTATTTTGTATAGTGGTTTTAATGAACTGTCTTTTTGACAGCACTCATTTTTTTTTAAACTGATTACTTCAATTTTGCTTTCTGCAGAGGACTCATAGACATGAGTTGTTTACTCCTTCAGCAGTCGTCGTTCATCCTGATGACAGTAGGAGCAAATTCCAGGTAAAAAAAAAAAAAATTAGTTTTTTTCCTCGAAGGGAATTGTACCAGGAGTTATACTTTCATGCAGTAATAGCTCTTCAGTGACAACTTATTTTTACATCTAGTATGGGTAATCAATGAAAATGAGTTATTTTCTATCATTTTTAGTTGGTGTGTCAAAAATGCAGTTATTTGGCTCAGATCAGCATGATGACCAAGGCACTCAAAAGCAGCTATGAAGTCCACAAGAAGTGTGGCTTCCTGAGGCAGAAGTGCAATAGCTGATCACCTTACCACGCTTTGCTTCCCTTCATTTGGGGATATTTTTTTCTGCTTCTTTCTTTCATAAGCACTAAATTCACAAACACAGAACTGAATAAGGTCATAACTTTAGTCTGCTCTGTTCCCATTGCAGCTTTTTAAAATGGTCTCTCCATACTGTATAATTTATTATATGTTAAAAAAGACTCTGAATGTTTGTCACTGGCTACCAAATGACAGCTTTTGCTTTGCTCAACTTGCCTGTTCACAGCCCACTGTCATGTAGCAACAAACAACTGATCTTAGTTGAACTGAGCTTGCATCTCCATCCAGACTTTATAGGCGTCTTTCTCTCTTGACTGCTTCCTGTCCTCCCTATCAGCATTGGCGTATGCATTGTTCAGGCTGGTATTGTAAGAGGATTGTCTCTCTCAACTGCAGCGTCATAGACCAAAATAAGTTTGTCCAGGAATGGCAGAGAGCATGTTGTGTTGTATCACCTGCCATTACCCTGGAGTGTTCTTTGTCATCCCTCTGAGCTTCTTCAGTAAAAATAATTAGTGTTAACTGTGTGAGCACAGGCTGGCCCTGTGGTTCAGACTGGGTCCTGCTGAGGAGCCTGTGTTATTACAACTGACATTCTTATGCAAGAGCAGAATTTACCACCTTTTTTTTTCAATTTTAATCCACTTGTAAGTAAAAAAAAAAAAAAAACACAATAAATACGTACTTGCTGAACAGTTCTTTATGCTAGCAGCCATTACTGGAAATCTTTTCCAGAACTCTGCTGCATTTGACATTCAGAAATGGATCCCTGGTTTTCTAATAAGTCTGAATAACTGCCATAGCTCATTTGTGTATTTATATGAAAATATGCCCATTGCAGCGCTCTGTCTTGCTTGCTTAAGCATAGATATATGGCGAGTTTGATTGAGTTCTTACTTCATTCTTTGCCTTTGATTCCAGCTTAAAACAGTAGAAACTCTACTGGGCAATACAGCTAAAGTGGGGGAAGTGATTGTCCTTGGGATGATAACTCAGCTCAAAGAGGTAGGTTGCTTTTTATTGTGGGATATCTGGGTCACCGTACATTCTGCATGATAATATATTAGAAAATGAGGTGGTTTAAATTTCTCATCGCTTTATCCTGTTCATATAAGTCGATGGCAAAACCCCTATCAGTGCCAATGGTGCAAGATCCATTCCCTAAAAAGAGACTTTTTCACGAGCTGTCAGTGCTAGTGTGTAAGGGAAGATGCCTCACTCTGAAGAGTGCAGAATTTTGCAATGCTTTATGTCAATAGCCAGAACCAGTTACTTCTTCTAGCCATACCTCAGTTTTGAACCCTGGAGCCCCCAAACCAGTTTTTGGACTTGCCCTTGCATTTGACCATGATTATGGAGGAGAGATGTGCCAGCAATCAAAACTGCAACCTAGCTAAGGGAAGCTGCTAAAATACAGTTGTTAACAAACTGCATCGTATTTTGTCCTGCCACTATAGTCTGAGCTTATCGTAGTGAACACTTGGAAAAACCATATCTAGATGCTGATCGATAGATGCTTCTGGTTAAAGCGTTTATGTGTTTGGATATATTTTACTTTAATACTTACATTTTCTCCCTGTTTTTTAGGGGAAATTTTTCCTAGAAGATCCTACAGGAGTTGTCCAGCTAGACCTTAGTAAAGCAATATCCTTTATTTGTGATGTAAAACTTGAAGAAATGTCCTCTAGACCTGGAGAATTTCAGATTGAATGAATGAATAATTACATATTTACCTTTTTTAAATAGAAAGTTGCAGCCTCATCTTTTTTCTTTTTTTTCTTTTGCAAATTCCTGGGTCACTGCAGCTCAGTGCCCTTTCACAGAGACTGCTAGGACATGTTAGTATTCTTCCTAGTGGAAGCAGAGCGTGTACCTGTTTCTGTGCTGTTTATGAGCTTACTGCTCAGCTACGAGGTGATCACCTGACTCTTAAGACAGCCTGTGAACTTTCAGTAGTGTCCAAATGTATTACGCCACCAGTTGGAAAACAAACTTCGGAGAACTAGTTTCAGAGTCCTGATCTAAGAATAATATGTTTCTTAACTGTTCTGTACCAGTTTCACAGCGGTTTATATACTGAATCATGCTTTGTTTTGGCAGAAGGTAAAGCAGAATATTTTTCCTAATGTATAATAAATTATTCTATGCTTGGAGTGTTGCTGCAAGTACATGTCTGCTAGATTTGGCCAAAGAGACAAGTCTCACATGGGTGAGGCTTGTCCATGAACTGGGTTTCTGACTGAGATTTTTGGCCCTAAACTTGGGTCTTTCCTGCTCTATTGTTATCTTGTGGGCTCTGGAGGCAGAGACAGAGGCACAGACCATTCTGTGGTTTCCAGTGCTATCAATGGGATCTGAGCATCTGTAGCAGCTTTGAGGATTGGCCTCAGTTAGCCTGGCTACAGCATGCCTGGAGAAGATATGGCTAGATTAGGAGGACAGAGTAGAAAAACTGAACGGTACAATGTAGCAGTCTGAAAATGCTGCTTTCTGTTGGCAAAACTTCTGTCCTTCAGAGTCTTTGTTGAGACTTCCCATTAAGATGGTGGTAGGAGCTTCCAGCTCTGGAGCCTTGGGTGTGTTTTAGCTAAATGATAAACAGTGGTATTTGTAGGATTCTATTATGTGCAATATACGTAATCCTAATATATTTTCTAATAATGCATTTTATGTTTAAAATCTGTGAAATAAACTAAATAGAAGTTAAGAGCAAGAATGGTAGTAGGGACAAGTCTCACTCTATTACTTTTAACAGAACCAACAGTTCTTAAGAAGGGGTGCGATTTGATGTAAACTTTGTTCAGGGCAAGGCCTGCGAAAATGGTTCCTGTTCCCTTACGTCTCCTTCAGCTGGGTTGAGATGGTTGTTTGTGTGGCTGTACAGTAAAACCACTCTCAGAAACGACTGGGGTGAAAAATTGCTAGGTTTCCTGCTCAGGTTGTTTTTTCAGCCGGAGAGTTCCCTGGTCTGGTTCACCACTAGACAGCCCAGCTGCTGGTGCTATCACAAGAGAGGAATTGATGCAGGCTGGGACTAGCTAGGCTAGCTGTGTAGCACAGCTGCCAACTCTCTGACTAATGTCTAGGACATGATGTTATTAGAAAAACTAAAGGGCGTTTTGTTGTTGAAAAATGTCTTAGGTTGGTATGAAGATGAAGTTTTTCATGTGAACGCTTTTGGATTTCCACCTACTGAGCCTTCTGCTACGACTAGGTATAAACCTAACTTCTGTTAGCCTCGCTCTATGTATTTTGTTATGACTTTCAAATAATAGCATTTTAAAAAATAATTTCAGTGACATTAAATATGCTATTCTTTCGCCTCACCAGACGCTTCAAAATAAATATAATGCTAAGAAGACAAGCAGTGCTGTGCGCTTGTTGGTCCACTTGGCCTGTAGCTAAAGCCCATACGCTTAGCAGAAAAACCCTCCCAAAGGCCGTTGGGTTCTGCGTATTATTGATAATTGTGATATACGCCATTCTGAGTTGCAAGACTGGGGTAACTATTACATGGGAATAAGCAACAGGGATGAATGTGTTGTTCAAGGAATGGATATGGGAGAGAACTCAGGATAACTACTACCCTGACGTGATCTGTTAAATTATGGCAGGGCAGCACTTGTGTTTTATATTGGGATGACTGCCATTTCTATTCATTGGTTTCTCCATGAAACACCAAATGATTATTGATACCATCTGAGCTATCTTTCATAATAATAATAATCAACATTGTTCAAATGAGTCATAATCAAAGCCAGTAATGATTTGGGGAGCAAACAGAGTTAACCTAAATATTTTAATAACGTAGAGCCTACTATGGAAACGTAAACTTCTTTGGAGGGCCGTTTTCAGCCTCAGTAAAGGCTTCTGCAAAACTAAAACAGCTGGAGGATGAAAATGAAGATGCCATGTTTGTATTTGTTTCCGATGTATGGCTGGACCAAGCAGAAGTACTGGAAAAGCTTCATACAATGTTTGCAGGTGGGTGGGAACTGCTCTGAGTCCTGTTTTAGAGAACATTTAAACAGTTTAACTTGACCTTATTCCTTGGCAACACTGAAGAGCGGAGCTGATGAATACAGCAATGCAGTCAGATGGCTAAGGGCTGCCAGGGGTTTGCCGTCCTCACCCCCTGCTGTGGCTGTGTTCCAGTCACCTCCCCAGCATGGGCTGGGAAGTTTGACCCCATGGTGAGCCAATTCAATGAACCATCCCAGTAGAAAACCAATTACCTTGTTGGAGAATTAACCTCATGCTGGTTTAGCTTTCTGAACTGTTCATCACGTGGTCGCTCACATGAGCACCGCTGTCCATGCAGGGAAAGCTGGAGAGTGTAGGATTGAGAGCAAGACTGCTCCTTTTAGCAGCAGCTAAGCGTTAGGCCAACTTTATTGTCAAACTGTGACCTAACTGTGCTCTCTTGTGAGATAATGGCTTGTGTGCCTTTCACATATTTTTTAATAAAAAAGTCAGGCAACAATTTTCAAGAGTCCTGGTGTTACTGTGTTGTATGTTTTGGATGAACTTTTGTTTTGAGAAAGCTACAGTAAGCCCAGATGTTGCATTTTTTTATAGGACCTCACTGAACCCAAGCCCAAAACCACGGAAGTCTCACTCTTTTAGTGATAGCTATTGCATTTCATGGCTGCTATTATATTTCCTTTGGATCGCTCTGTAACAGTTTTTAAAATTGGGTTATATTATATTTTTGCAAACTGACACTTCCTTTTCATAAATCAGTTAGTACTATATTGTTTTGGACGGTAGCCATTTTATGTGATGTGACAAGAATGTTTCACTTGTTTATGAAACTTCTTCCTAGGCTTGGTTTAAAGAAAACTTCTTTCTTCATTAGAGATCAGCACTCTCTCTTGAATGCTTTCTGGTTTTACCAATGAAAACATGTTGTGATTCATTCCTAAAATATGAGCTGATTCTTCCACACATCATTACATTGGTAATGTTGACAGCATTTGGATTGCAAGCATCCGTGAGATCTGTGAATTGCTTCTTTGTATTCCAGAATACTTGGAACAGCTTGTCCTGTCTGTCTTAGGTAAAAGTGTGAGAGGGTGTCTGCTTTAAAAAGAAAACAAACAAAAACCCTAAAATTTAGGGTGGGAAACTGCTACTCACTTAAAGAAAATTGGACACAAATTATCACACTAGTAGAGAAGTTCCAAAACCTATTCTCTCTCTTGACAAAAGTTGGCAAGATCCTTGAAACAAACTGAACCTGACCTAAGATTGCTTATGTTGAAGTAGCAAAGAGACCTTGGTTGGTGAGGTTAGTATACGAAATTGAACTGGCAAGGATGTGCTTATTACATTTACTATGCCAAGACAGTTTTTTTTTTTATAGACAAGTAATAAATTTTGAAATTTAGACTAAAAATAATAGCTGAGAGTAATAGCAAGGAAAAGCAACACGGAGTAGCCATTTGTCTGGTATAAATAATTCCGTCCTATTTGTCAAGTGAACTGAAAAACAGTGAAGTAAATCTAAGTCTGGGACAGCATATTAGGGAATGTAACTTGGAGCATGAGATGGATGCCTGAGTAAATGTTTTTATGTTTGTTTTAGAGATGGGGATTGGGTTTCTCTTTTTACTTTGTGCTATAAAGCATGTGATTAGTAGTATTTTGAGGCTTCATCAGATTCTTAAAATGCTCAGGCAACTCCAGTTACTGTTGCTTTATAATCCTAAAGAGCGAATGGAATGTTAGAAGAGCCCTTGAACTGGAATAATGGATGGAGTTTAATAATAATCCCACTTGCTACCCACTTGCTATTTTTCTCTTTAAGGAAAGAGAGTGTTTTTAAATTATATTATTTATTATAATTGTACTTGGTATAATGGTATGACCGGGTCAGTATTTAGTTGGATACACGCAGACAACGTTGTTGGAACTGGGCCTGTAGCTGTTCCTACGGATAACGGAGGGCTCCCTGGGAGTGAGATTTGTGCATTGCCATTCATCCTTTTAAAGCTAACTAAAGCCTATATGAAGAAAATAGTTCAGCTGTATTAATAGCAGCAGAGCTTGAAGTGCTGTTCTAGTTTCTGCCCTTCATGAAATGGACTGGAGGCTGAATGATGAAAGATACCGAAGTGGATGGATGTTACACTCACAGATACTCTGTTTTTCCAGGTTATTCCTCTGCACCTCCAACCTGCTTTTTCTTTTGTGGAAATTTTTCATCTGCACCATATGGAAAAAGTCAAATTCAGTCACTGAAAGGTAGGAAAGTCTTTGTAGTCAGACACATACGGTATATTAAAATAGTGATGGCAAAAAAGTTTGAGAGCAGAAAACAAACCCATGTTTTCTGAGTAACACATTTTTGATGTATTAAAATACACAGGTGATTCATATAATGTGTTTATTGTCTAACCAGGTGTTGTATCATAGATTTTTTTTTCTGACTCTAGGTTCTTTGAAGGCACTTGCAGATATAATATGTGAATATCCCAGCATTCATAAAAGGTACACAGCAAAGTGCTATGAAATGGGAAAATTGTCTATGTTGTGGAAAGCTTTAATTGAATTACTTTAAGAAACAAACAGATCTCATGTTTCCCAACTATCGTGAGCCAGCTATGATCAGATATCAAGCTAGTCTTGTAGCAGACCCATAAGATTATTTTGGGAGCAGTATCAGTCTTTGATGATATCTAGAATAGCTTGGTAATGCAAGGAGCTGTTGAGTGAGCAAAGGTGAAGCTGTCCATCTCTGAAGCATTTTCCATGTGTGTTATACATGGCCCCTGATTCCCCAAAAGTGCTATTTAGGTGAGCCTTTGTTTTTCTGCAGCTCCCTTGAAATCAACAGGTTCTACCTGTACAGTGCTCCTTTATAAAATAATGTTGAAGTGTTCATGCTACTAGGAGCAACTACAGGCTTTCAAACTGTAGCAGGCCCAGAGAATGTCATGTGGAACGCTGACCAGACGCGGAGCCATCTCTTTCTACCTTCCCACGATTGCATACACAGTTCTCCACAGCCGTTAGTTTAGCCGCTTAGTAACCAAAGCAATGTAATCTTGCAAAGGAATCTTATATTCGACCCTTCTTGCATCCCTGCTCTGTGGAAGCTCCATTGCAGGCCTAGAGGACTATACCATTCCTATAGGAGTCTGACTGTATGAAGGAAAGACAAACAGGGAGACAGCCTGGCTTATCCTTTCTGGCTTCTGACGCTGCCAATTCATAATGGTAGGTCCTAAGCAGAGCTCGTTAATAAAATGGGCCCCTGAAGCAGGAAGGGCCAACCCATGGCTCTCTAATTCTTTGTGAGCTATAAGCAAGCGTGTCTCCTGGGCCGATCCTTTGTCGTGTGTCACGGCAGGGCTCTCTTGGTGTACACTGCTGGATAATCTGGGTTCCATGTATGGGATCACGGAGCCCGTTACCACTGAGTCACGAGCCAAGCTGCACTTTTGGTCCTCCTCTCTTCCCACAGTCAGTCTTCCTTTCACGGTGAGCAGTTTCTAGGGTTCCTCCACCTCTTTAGTGAGGAATGAATATGTATCTTATGCTTTAGTTGTGATTTATGTGGTTCAAATGTTAGGAAGAACTCTCATCCCTGCTCCAGAATGGGTTATTTACATGCATCTGTGGAGTAATGGCAGTATCTGACCTATATTTGGATACTTCTAGAATTGTTTTAAATTAAAGCGATACATCAAACTTTTTACAGTAGCCGATTTGTGTTTGTTCCTGGCCCTGAAGACCCTGGTCCTGGCTCTATTTTACCACGGTCAGTTTGCTACACTATTCTTTTCAAATTTTGAGATACTGAGTTAAATAGGTAAAGAAGATAAGAGTCTTAGCTGCTTTATCTGTTGCTGTTTATTTTAGACCTCCTCTGGCTGAAAATATCACTCATGAATTCAGACAGTTGGTGCCATTTTCATTTTTCACCACAAATCCTTGCAGGTAACAGTCTAACGTGCTGCTATCGTTCTTGCTTTTTTACTGAATGACTAATTTGTGTGTAAATGTAGTGGTCTTAAAATTTCTAAATTATTTTAATTCCTCACTTGCATTAATTGTAACTAGTTTTAAATACATTAATACATGAATACATTAGTGATGGAAGTTCATATATACTTTTCTGTTTTAATTTACTGTGAAATAAAATAGTCCATGCATATACTTTTAATAAGATGGTTTGGAAGTAGTGCTAAAAGTTTAATAAAAGAGCATAAAAAAAACCGCTCAAGTGCATCATGCTTTTCCTGAATCTGGAAGGAATGAATGGAAGATGGGGAAGTAGTATTTTAATTGAAAGGTATTTTTTCATTTGGCTGTAAATTAGAGGGAGAAGATCAACTTTCTAATACAGATCGTCATCTTGTCAGTGTTTCATTCCAATTCGTTTAACTTCATTACTGTTTGCCATTTAGGATTCAATATTGCACGCAAGAAATAATTATCTTTCGTGAAGATTTGGTAAACAAAATGTGCAGAAACTGTGTCCGCTTCCCTAGCAGCAACATGGATATTCCTAACCATGTAAGTGAGTTGCGTTCAGCACTTCTTGCTAAGATCTCTTTGACTTTTTCTGTTGAACAGCTGATCTGAATTTAGGGTGCTCTGGGCTGCGTACTGCTTTGCGAAGCCTTGTAAGAGTAACCAAGTTTGAGAAAAGAATCGTAAAGACAGATTTAGAAATGTAGTATTATTACTTTCATTTACATCTTCATAGTAAAATGACTGAAACCGTGATACTGATTGATGGTGTCGAGTCATTCTGATTGTCCCACTGTTGGCGCCCTTGAACTCAGAACTTCCGCGCGGCTGACTGTTGGTGTGTTTGCATCAGCAATGAACATTGTGCAAGAAATATTGATTCCTAAAAGGAAGGTTTAGCACAAATTACCTTTTGAGTCTTGATCAATTAACCAGTGACATTTGCAGTAAAGCAGCACGTCACTTTTTTGAAAGGTCGTCTGCTTCCTCTGACTTCTGACTTGAAGTCTTAAGCCTGCTTTTGATTCATCTCCGCAGCACTTTGAGTTATGATTCCAGTTAATGAATGGACAGCAGGAGTTGATAGGACTTACTGATATAATTGAATCAGAGTGATTCGGGCAGTAGTGGCTTATTGCAGTGACCGAGTCTCCTTTTATTTGTTTTATGGCTTATTTTTGACTTGGTAACTTCCTCTTAACTCTTTCTTCCTTGTCTCTATCAGAGGAGTGCTGCTTTTTTTGTGAGTGTGGGAAGCCCATCGGTGGGTACTGATGCACCTGTCCTCTGTGTGCATGGGTTCGCACACGTGCATGTACACACCAGAAACCTTCACTGCTGTACTCAGACAGGAGTTCCTTTCTCATGTTAGGAGGGGAAGGAATCATGAAGGAAACTTAGAATTACTTATTGCAACACTTATTTTCCAGTATCTGCAGCTAGAGATATTGGGCTACTTTTGCATGCTTGCCTTTTCCTCTGCCTTTTCTGCCTATATCGTTAATTATTTAATTATACCATCAGATAAAAAGATGAATGGGAGAGGAATTAATGATGTCTTTAGGCCTCCTACAGGGCTAGTGGAATAACTGGGCGTATGCTTTGTACATCATTGTCTTTTCAACAGTAGACCTTTTCACCAAGTTGCTGTAGTGATTTTTCACCCTTTTGGGGAAATGGGACCCATTTGCACCTACATGATTGATTAGAGATAATAAAGTTTTCAAGGGGCCTGAGCAGAGAGCTTCAGAGAGCCAAGATACCTTGGCTGGAATCTGCTGGATGAAGGGAGTTTCCAGGGGCTGGCTGGTGTTGGGAGCAGGGCAGCTCCCCAGAATAGCAGCCAAGGGAATGGAAAGAGTTAGGGAATCAGAAGCCCCAGTCCAGGGAAAAAGCTGTGTTTAAGCGTGGATCTTGTAGTGAAGTGGTATTGTGAGGAAATAGAACAGAAGCCCTGAGAAAGAAAACACAAAATAAAACTTAGAGCAGTGTTGGTACTTCCTGGGTTTGAGGAACAGGCAAACAGATTCTGTGGTTTGTTGGCGAGTGATCAATGGAAGAGCTGTGATATAATTTATTCAGATATCCATTATGTGAAATACAAAATTGGGACCTTAAAATAGTGCCTGTTAGGTTGCAGAAAGGACTTTGTATAAGAAACAAACAGTAGTTGACTGTTGCAGGACAGCTGCTGCTTTACTCCAAAAATCATTAACAATCCCGAAGGAGGGAAATGCATTAAAAATATTGATATCTCCAGGAACGACGCTTCTTTATTAACAGGGCATTGGTATCTGCAGTTGTGGCAGGAATGAGTTTGGCTTGTAGAAGATGGTTCAAACTAACTTAATGTATTTTTATCTTGCAGTTTGTAAAGACTATATTATCACAAGGACATCTGACGCCACTTCCGCTTTATGTTAGCCCTGTGTACTGGGCCTATGACTACTCCTTGAGGGTGTATCCTGTGCCAGATATGCTCGTGATTGCAGACAAATATGACCCATTCACTGTCACCAATACTGACTGCCTTTGCATAAATCCTGTAAGATTTTCTTATGCTTTACCAAAATAAGATTGTACTGGATTTCTATAAACAGCATCTAATTTACAGAGTGGAGTTATTTAAATTTAAATATTAGGAAAATTACTGAGTGGTCAGCTGCCAAAGGGAGTGCAGCCTCACTGAAGTGTGTCTTTCACTATTTGTATGGTATTTTCCTTATACAAGTATGATGTGTTTTTCTTTACAGGGTTCATTTCCAAGAAGCGGATTTTCATTCAAGGTGTTCTACCCCTCCAACAAGACAGTTGAAGACAGGTAAATATGTTCAGCTTCTTGTTTAAAGGAAATATCGTTTTATTTGCTGACTTTCTAATTCTCAGGAGGGACACAGAAAATCAGTTACATAAACAGAGTGAATGTTCTGTTGCCTACCATAGGCTGTTACGCTTCATACATATGCAGTGTAAGAAGTCCAGATGCCTAGAATTAATAAGTTTAGAAATAATAAATTAGATATAATAAATAATACATTTAGAAATTGCAGTCAAATAATAACATGATGAGACGCATGATCCAAAAATCCAAAAGTAAAAGGAATGATTTAATGTAGTATATGCTGTTCAACGACTGGAGACCCCACTGGGAAACAACTTTGAGGAAATTCTGGAGGAAATGTTTGTTACTTGGGTTAATCACGCTTAGGGACAGTGCTTGGTTAATTTTATGATTATAGTCAAGCCAACAAGACACTTTCGTGCTTTGATATCTGTGCTAATTCATTCCAGCTGTGGTGTTCCAATGGTTGGAAAAAAAGACCAACTGCCGCACAAATAAAAAGTATCAAAGGGCTTACGACCGTGATGAAAATTTGCCTCAGTTTGTTATCATCACGGTGGAACCCAATGGGAAACGTGCAAATTTATCTTGTCTGTCTCTCTGATTCAATTTCATGCCTCCTGTTGTAGAAGCTTTGTTTTTCCTAAATGGGTAAATAACCCCCCAATATAAGGGAATTGATAATAGATACTGATCATACCCATGTGCCCATTACTGGAATATAGAAAATATCATACCATAAGGCTTTGCCTTGGTATTTAAGATAAAGTCTTAAATAAGTCTTTAAATAGCTTTAAAAAAGTCAAGTCTTTCATATATATCAAGAAATGGAATCGCGTTATTTATTGTGTACTATTTTTAAAAAACTAAATATTGTTTTTGTTTGGTATTTTCAGCAAGCTCCAGGGTCTCTGAATTTCTGCAAGACTGCAAAAAAAGAATGAAGTGTTTGTGAAGTTACTGTAGTACTCATTTTAGATGGATTGATTTTATTATGTATTACTGACTGTTCAGAATAAATGTCAAAGCTAAAACTGGTATATTTTGTAAATAAATAAACTTTTACAGGAAAATATGCTGGTAGTAGCTTTTTAGATAAAATATAGAGTGGCAGGGAAGATTGATTTGAACAACGTAATAGAACGACGGCAACTGAGAACCAAATGCATATATATCAAATAGGAAATATCTTTTTTTTTTTTTTTTTGAAGAAGTTGATAGAATTTTCTTTTTCACCATGCTGAGTCAAACTGATAGCTAGTTGTCTACAGGAGACACTGGAAAAGCGGGCTAGGATTTTGCTTTGGAAAGGTTTAGAGAAGACGAGTGAGGTGTTGATTACTGATGGCAGTTCAGTCTGTTCAGTCTGCACGGACAAAGTGGGGAGAAGCAAAACTTAAGAGGAAAAAGGACGGGGTCCTTTGAAACTTCGGCGAAAGGCTGGAAAGAGAGCTGCTGTTCTCTGAAAATCACGCTGAAGGAGCAAGCAGACAGGGAGGAAGGAATCAGACCATGACAGCGCTACCTTCCGCTTGGCTCACGCCGCAGAGCGGCCTTGCGGCGTGCGAACGCGATTGCTGCCTGATGAAACGAGGCAAAAAGCTGATGCAGCCACTCGCGGGCATTCAGGTCACGGGACCAGACGCGCGCTACTCCCAAGCCAGCACCTGAAACGCGTACGGTATAGACGCAGGATCCTCAGCAGCAGCTGCTTTCTTTCACAGACCGTGCCTCCCGCGCTGGCATCGAGGTGCCCGTGTGCTGGGGGCAGAGAGCGCGGTGCGGGAAGAGGAGGGCAGGGAGACGGGGCCTCCGGAGGGGCTCCCTGGGCTGCGGTGAAAGCCAGATACAAGAGGTAGAAGGTGAACTGGCGAGGGTCAAAAATTAAACTGTAGGAGACTGTGCCCCCCCATCTGAACATACTCCCCTGCGGCCACCCAGGACTGGAAGGCGAACGGACAAGCAACGTCTGGAGCATTTAGGTGCTTAAGAGAAGAGACTTGAGCATGCCTGAGAGAAGAGACTTGAGCATGCCTGAGCCCTAACAAGACCGAGACGGGGGAAGAGAGGTGAAAACGAGAGCTCAGAGGTGAGGAAGGAAGAGGAGCCGCGGTCGCAGCCGCGAGCG